CCTCGTCAGGTAATGAATTTTCCTATAATAGCAGCAAATTTTATCTATTAATCTACTATATTAATTTTTTTATTTGCGATATTTAGACTTGCTGGTCAAGTCCAGCTTTAAAGCATGTTAAATAGGGCCTGTATAAATAATAACAAGGCCAGACCACAACACTGGGAGATAGGGTTGCCTACTTTTTGCAAGAAGTGCGTGGGTTTTTTAACGTCCCTTGCTAACCAGCACATAGAGACGTAGGAGTTTATCGTCCTTACTCGAAAAGACCAAAATGTTTAACCACTAACAGATGTCATAGTAGTTGCAGCACATTCTCCTCAGTTATTTTAAGACACTTAGAGTGGAACTCTTGACCTTCCGCACGGCAGTCCACTACACCATGAGCTAACCAAGAGCGGTTTTGGAATGCTTTTTAAATGCTGGACTCAATACAAAACATACCGTGCCATTAAGACAATTGATACGAGCTTTACATATTTCTAAAGCTCTGCAGCAAAAGTAAATCACCAAAATTACCTCTAAATATTTTTGCAATCGCCGTGGTTTTTGTCTCTACCAATCCGAAGCTGTTTTTAGCCCGGCAGATGAAATCTACGTTTTCCTCACCCATTTCAATTAGAAGACATCCATCTTCCTGAAGAACAGGATATAAGACAGAAGACTTTTTGACCTGGAACCACTCAACGTTTGGACGAGGAGAGCCTGAGGCCTCGCAGCAGAGGGTTACATTAGTTCCTCGCAATGTATTGACAACTGTAGGGGGCCTGTTGGTAAATTTAGGCGGCTCTGAAGAAAGAAAAATCAGCGTAACAGACATAAAACAAACATGGTGAAGATCTTATGAGTCTGAGCTAAAGATTGCGAGACAAAGCTTTTCGTAATCATTTCTCTCTTTATGTACCTTTTACGTGCAATCTGCTTATTATTCGGAACATTCCCAAACCAGTGTGAGCTGTACACATGTACAACCCAGCATGTGACCTTTGTACGCTGCTTATTCGAAGTGCACCATCTTCCGTAGTAGCATCAGATAGAGTACCTGCAAGCTTTCGCAAAGTTATCTTGGACGACAGATGGCCTTGAACCCAACAGTAAAATATTACAGGCTCGTCCACAAAGACTTCCTGAGATACTGGATACGCACTGATCTTCAGTGGAACAACACATTCTCCCTTTGGTCCCTGAATACCAACCAATCCTCTACTGCCTTTGCTTCCTTTTAAGCCGATAGATACTTTTTGTCCTTTACGACCCTTCGTTCCAGTCTCTCCTCTAATCTCGCGCGCTCCAACGGACCCTTTGTCGCCCTTGTCGCCTTTTACTCCCTGAGGTCCCTCGGGTCCTCTTTTGCCACTCACGCCTGGAGCCCCGATTGGACCCGAAGGGCCTCTTGTGCCGGTTTTCCCTGTGGCTCTTTTCTCTCTTTTGTACCCTGGATACCCGTGGGCACTTGGAGGACCTGGAGGTCCTGTCTGACAAATCTTGTTGTTGACACTGCAGGATTTATTGAACTTGTTGTTAATTTCCTGGCGGACTTGCTGCAGAGTTATTGTTCCTGCAGCAACATTTCTTCTCTCTCTTTGATAATCACGGATAATTGATGACACACTTCCTATTTTGCTTTCAAAACCTGTAGAAGTTACGATTACAAATATTTCTTATGGGATCAATGAGATGATACATTTTAAAGTGCGAAAGAATGAGCAGAATTGATGTATTCGTTTATTAATCGATGTTTACGGTGAAGAGAAAGAAAAGAGAAAATAAAGACAAACGAGAAATACGCAAATGTTAAAACATTCATATGCTCATAAAATCGGTGCAAAAATGGACAACTCAATATTAAATGGAGTCAGAGTTAAAGAATTGAAAAAATTCATAAAAGGAACTTTTTAATTCTATAGTTTTGTTGCAAAATAGCTCGAGGACTGTCTGAAGCTGCCTTTGGTCTTAAGACTTGGCCTTTGGTCTTGAGATTTCAAGCAAAGCTCGTTGAGCATCGCGGTCAAAATCCTGTTCGCCAAAATGCAGGTAACAATTTCTACTGTCGTCAAAATTTTGGTGCAAAAAATTGGCGATGATCGAACACATTAGTCTAAGAGAATGAGAACATATACTGCCGTGTTTCAGGAAGAGTAGGAGTCAATTTCGATTTGGTTCAACAAAATGTTACCTGATCCAATCTGCATTCTTCGGTGGCTTGACGCACGAATGCATGTCACCCTTCGTTACCGTAATGTGAAAGCAGATGTTTTCGATAACCAGTTTCTTTAGTAAAGCGAAACAATAACAAAAACGTTCACTTGTTGAGTACCTTAAGCGTTTTCTTTCGCGTAAAGCTTGTGAAAAAAAGAAAATAACTGAGATTTTAAGCGTCAGTTGAGTTTGACCTTTTCCAAAATACCTTTGGTAGAAGGATAACATACAAATAAAATACAACTTAAGATAGATTTTCGCTCTGCCCTATTTCACAATCAACGGCAGTAGAACATAGCGAGTATTCTGTTGATAGAATTGAGAGGAAAACCGACGAAAATATCATTTTGTGCTGTGATGCACTGTGGTGTTGGTTATTAAAAAAAGCTAACAGAACTGAGGTACGTATAAGCAATGACTTATTAAAGATAATATCACGCCTTTCCTTTCTCCTTGTTGTGGATGCAGTTTCATAAATTTGTAACCTCTTCTTCACTATCCTCTCTATGTTTGTTTTCAGGTCATCGTCAATCCGCTGAATTCGGTATTCAAGCCTTGTTTCCAGCGCTTTCGAATTGTTGTCCACAAACTCGATCCTCATAAACAACAATGTCACAAGAAATTCTGCTGATCTTTTCACTAGATTTCGAGCGGACGTTCCCTTTTGCATCCATTTATTTCCGCGTTGGCGATCTTTAAAACAAGAGGAATATGGTCCGTTCGCGGGGACTGATGTAGCTCAAACGTTGGTTAAGATTAAACTTCCCTTTCAGCGCTAAGCTGTTTCAGTGTACCCCGTGATATCTTAAAATATCACTTACACAGTTTTTAGACAACACAGAAAAAATTGCTTAAAAAGAGGTCTTTGACCGAATTTCTTTGAGTGCAGGGGTTGTAGTATCCAGTCCACCGCTCCGACAATTGTAGTTCGGTTTGTGCATGCGTATACCGTTTTGGAAGAGAACGCCACGTGTTTTGACAATACACCACGTGTTTTGACAATACGTCAGCTTTTTAAACTTCTCGTAGACAGATTAACCCTTGAAGCTAGGCTGATTTATTATTAAGACTGCGTAATAAGACTTAAATGAGGTTAAAAGCTCAACACTTGTCTTGGAATGAATATAATTTCTTCTACAAAATGTTTTGGGGATGACCTTAAGCATGAAGCTTCGCCCTGAAGTTTTTCGCACATTGGTTTTGTTCCGGAGAAAAACGATGCAAGAAATCTAAAAAAGGAATCGCAAATGAAGGCGGAATTGAAGGCATTAACTAGGCTATCAAACTTGACTGGAACTTTCAAAACTCATCTTACTCTACACGAAGCGCTACAGCAAATGTTCTTTGAATGTTTTTCAAGTGTATCTTGATTGTATATCCTCGAGCATGGAAAACGCGATTAACCAAGTGGTGTCCAACTTTCTAATTTTACATCTTGTTGGTTTAAAAGAAGAGAAATTCTGGATTACTTTAAGCTCGCATTTGAAGTTTGCTTTAGGTCACCGTCAGTCCCAGGCTGGCGATATTCATAAACTAAGTGTCATTATTACAGTTAAACTCGTATTTACGCTTATCGTGTCGCCGTGTCGAAGCTATAACTGCAAAATGAATCCAACGAGCGCTTTCTGTTGTAAAAACGGTAGACACACTCCCTCTCATATCTACGCTGTGCGTAACTGTGGGATTCTAATTTCACTAATATTGAGTGGACTGTAGCATTTTTTTCCCTTGAATTGGATCCACGCATGCCCACCTCAAACTGCTATCTTAGCATTTCTTCAAATTCAGGTTGCCCCACAAGTGAGCTATAGATTCTTGCTAATAATTAGGGCCTAACCGTAGAAAAGTCGCCCTCTTCTGGAGATTTTCATGCATTTTGAGCAAATTTGCACTTTTCTCTCCCCATTCTCCTTCAAGTCTCTTTATATGTCACGCAACGCTTTGGGAGATGCGTGACAACAAAAAGAAATAGCAGCGAAGTAGCTAATCCCTTACGAGTATGCGGTGTTGATTTTCGTGAAAGATCAAAAGTAGTCTTCGATCCTTCGCATATAAAATGGTAGGTGAGTTTCGAGGTCTCCCATTCCATCTCACCCTCCTTCCCAAGGGGCTAGCTCGAGATTACGTCCGTATGCGTCGATAATTTCCGCCTTGAGGAAGACAAAACAATAGATAGAAACTTTAATTTGCTTCCCATTACAGCTTGGTTCCTTATCAGCTCTGAACAGAACATGGGCATATTCGCGGCATTTTTACGGCTTCCTATTTATTTGACAACAGATGTGTTTAAACAGAAACAAATGGGGTTCAACCTGGCTAAAAGATTCAAGGAAATATAGTATTTCGATGTACTGGCCAAATATATTGTTTTTCCTTATAAAATATGTCGAGTTTTGGCCCAGGAGTTTCGTTTTATTTTTAGTTTTAGGTAGAATTATTTATGAAAGAGAAGTATTTTTGAAATGGATTGATCAGTACGCGTTTTTCTTTGAGGGGGTCTATCCTTAGATCAAAGAATGTCGTGCGGCTTTAAAGATATTGTTTTGATTTCCCTTTAAAGTACTTTGCATGATACACAATTTGAGTGGAATTATGAACATTGAAAACAATCTGGAATCGTCTCTCGGATATTTTCTGGCGAGGGTGGGTTCTGCATACATTGTTCCTTAAAATGCGATACCTTCTTTCTGTTCAGTTTTAAGCGATTTGACAGTCCGCAATGCCTGAGGGCAAATAACCCCTTAGCGAAATTTAATAAACGACATCAATCAACAAAGCCTTTATCACAATTCCTCAACAATGCATTGGTGCTAGCGAGTGTTACAAAATGCCAGTCATGTAGTGATGAACAATGTCCCTCCAGTGACATAAGCCCGACAGACACTGAAGGTGTTATGTTACTAATTCAATTCGATAACAAAGGGCGAGGCTTCTCATTGGTTCGCTTTGTATACTGCCGTCGTGCGAGGCGGTTAATTTCAGTGTTTGATTGACAGGCCTGTTTCCGCAAAGTAAACCGACCATTCCTATGCCCTTTGGTCGTTGTATTCAAGTTTCGTTCCAAAACAACAACGTGAAGAACGCGCACCTTTCAGATTTACTGAGCAAATTTGACGGCAAACTATGAGTTACATCTATAGATTATTCATTTTGAGCCTCGCGCTTCACACTTCGCTAATAAGCGACAAAATGACGGAAGCATCGTCAGTTGCGAAAAACGGAACCACTGCGAAGGAACATGACAGTGAAATCTTCAGTCGCCATTCTATCCCTCGCCGAATGAGAACTCATCAGCGTCACAGCCATCACTCTTCGCGAAAAAAGAGAGAAAAAACTACGGAGACCACATCGGTCCTTAAAAACGGCAGCACTTCGGGAACGCTTCAACGCGAAATTCTGAATCTCCTTGGTTTGCCCCGTCGGCCGCAGCTAAGCCTAAATACTCGTCTACATGGCCGAAAAATGTCTGCTCCAAGGTATATGATTGACCTATACCACAGCTTAGAAAGCAACGTGAGCTTGTCGACCGACGGTTTGTTCTGCTGCAATGACTCTGTGACAGATTCCCGAGCGTTGGGTGCTGACACAATTATGAGCTATCTTAACCACGGTAAGTCGATGTCTGCCAAGACTTCGTTTACGTACACTTCACGAAGGCTTTATTGATTACAATCGATAGATAAACATTGCAAATTGCATAATTGCTCTTAGGAAGTAGTGTATTTTCATGTGGCTCGGGTGCGCATTGTTTAACACAACACGAACATGTGTATAAACACGAGAAATGTACTAAAGACATCGCTTAGGCACTTATTAGGAAAGGTTAAAGTTGTGCGCCAAGTCTGGAAACAATTAATTATGGCAACTGCTGAAATAGACATCTAACTGGAGTGAAATCTACAACAAAGCTTTTTAGGAGTAATTGTTAAGTTCCCAAATTAAGAAAATTTCCTAATTATAGAAATTGCTGAAACAATGTTCAAGGTTATTGCGCCAAATATCACTCTTAGCACGTTCACCAGAGATAAACACGCGCTTTTGAATTTTAAAAATGACTTAAATTTATTCCAGTCACACCGTCTGCTTAACTTGCCTAATGTTTTTTTCTTCCCCAACGGAAATTCAGCAATGTCAAGAGAACTTTAATTAGCACTTTACGGATACTTTACAAATTAACGCAAACCTCGGAAACGTTTTGCAATATTTGCACCTTTTGTAGATATTTCTGTGTCAAAACGGCCGTATGTAGATCGAAGTTTGTAGAATAAGCGATATTGCTGCCCTATTGAACACTCCTCAGGAAAGGCATAGTTGATTATATAACGGTGATTTATAATCGAATCGGAAAGCGTAGGGAGTAAAAATATTATCCATTGTTCTTTCTTTGAAACAAGAACGTCTTCCAAGCCAATACAAGACTGAAATAACTGAGTTTTCGATAAGAAATCCAATGTTGGCATTTGGAGAGTGACTTCCACGTCAGATAAAATCAATTTTTAATGGGGTTCCTCTTTATTTTAGACAACAAAATATCATCTCGTGTTATAAAGTCGATTTTTTATGTCATTGTTGCCGAGGTCACATTACTTAGCTGCGCTCTTCTCTAAAACTCCCGCTACGATTTTTTTGTCGGCTCAATAATATCCCACATACCGAGATGACTGGAGTTTCTCCAAAATCTCCTTACCTGCCTCCTCACTGTTGTGCTCATAACGAAAGAGAAATACGATTTGCATCGCGAACAAACGAGCTTAACAGACATGATTAGAGGTCTTTGTCAAGTTTAGATCTTGTTGAAAATTGCGGTTGGCTTTAAATAATGTGGAAACACAAAAGCCGTCCTTGTTAAATGATTATCTGTTATACTAAAAAGTGAACAGAGGATCAATTAATTGCTGGTATCCATCGGTGTCAGCGCCAAAACATCGCTTAACTTTTCAATGTACGAATATAAATATAATTTCGTTAACATTCCCACGATGATTTTCTTTACGTCTGTGAGTTAAACTGTAAGCAAAACAAATTTATTTTATAAATATTTAAATTCGAAATTTTCAGTAGTTGGGGTATAACTTTTTCAGTCAAAGAGAAATTACGCTTTTTTATTACGCGCGTTGTTCGTCGTTCTGATCAGATATTGTTCTTTACAACAAGCTTTATTCTTTAGTATGAATCAAATTTGGAAGTTTTTTCTGGCAGAAGGACTTCGTAGACTTCCTTTCTGTTTTCATTTACGCTTTATATTTCCAATAATCTGTATTTCCTGACCAGACAAGCGGGAGCTGTGTAGAATCCGTCGTTAGTTTGCCGTGACGTGCTTTTATCGGCCAAAATATGACAAACATGCTTCATAAGAACTTATCTTTAAGAATGTACATCCATCAATTTGAGTGCGTATTGTCTTGGAGAGAGAAAATATCTGACAAATAATCTCAAAATACGCATGATACTTAAGAAGCACTTTCTAAAATTCGACACTAGAAAGAAAAATGTCATTCCGAACATTGCGGAAACGAAAATTCCCATACAAAGTCCTGTTTAGTGACTCTCATTTGACTGTTCGCACTTAAGTTTATCCAGACTAAAAGGCGAGCTCTACCTGAGAAAGTGTAACTAGCAGTACTATATGAAAGTATTGTTCTGTGGGTAACTTTCATAAAAAAGATCGTACGTCAAGGTGTTTTCCGCAAACTTCTTTTCTTGCCAAATCGTGATAACCTAAGTGCAAACGCTCTTTCGGAAAAAGTGAAAGGAAGGGTTCGTGAAAGATGGCTGCCTATAGCTTGATCGAAGGAAACATTGACGGATTAAATGACAAACTGAAGGAAAGAAATGTACTTGATAATTCCGAAAGTAAGTGAAATTTTGGAGATTGCTGTGGGCTTGCGATGCCAGAGAAAAAGAGAACAAGAGAGAACTTTGTAAGATTGTAAGATTTGCTTGACCGACGAGGACTTAAAACAGCCTTAACTGATCAGCGTCTAAGTGTCCTCACCTGTAAGATTATCTGTTTGTTTTGGTTTATTATAAGTCTTAAACCTTAAATTAACAGGATGGACGAAAGCCTGAATTTGACAAAAAGGAATTTTTTTTGACAAGCTAGAGTGATTTACGATTTCAAACGCCGTTTTATGCCAACAGAGTAAAGTTGAGTCGTTATTTTCAAGTACCATCAAAACTCAATCCCCAATTTAATTTTTAGCGGCTTTGCATTTTCTCGCTGGCATTTTTTGGCTTATCTGTGTTCTTGTTTCAAGTTCTTCCTAATTTTTAAGCCCTTTTTTGTATTGGGATCATTTGATCAAGCCTGAAATTGTCTAAAAATTTTTCTTCCATCCCTCTTGAAATCGCGACGCGAAAGTTGGCATGAAACTTAATTGCAAGAAGCTTTGTTAAATCGCACCTCGTTCTGGGGAGGAATGTTCGGACCAGAAATGGTGGCGGATGACCCTACCAACTGAACGGGTCACAAATTGTTTTCCGTTTTCCTTGAGCTGCTTTGGAGTGATGACAGAACGAAGATGAGTCAGCAAAACGCGACATTTGGCAAGTCACGCGATGTGAAAGCTCGATCTTTTTATCGCTGGGAAGAAAAGACCTACGAAATCCCCTGATTACCAACGGTTTTTCTTTTGTCGGTTTGTTGGAGGATCCTTTTAAACTCGATTTATATTCATGCTCTTTTAGTGCTCTTTGCTAATTAAGTTCGCACTCGAATACTGATCAAGAGTTTTGATCAAAAGAAGTGTAAAGAAATTCTTGATGAAGGATGGCGGTGATTTTATCATTTATATCTGATTGTAAATGCTGCAAATCGTTTGTTATTTGATAAATCTATTACTGATGCAGCAGAATGAATGAGTGAATTTTTTAAACAAAGGGTTTCTTTCTTTTTTTTTTTTTTTTAAAGTTACATTTCAAATTACGCTATGGGTTCCTCTCAGTTTATGGAGCGAAGTGAACAAAGAAGGGTGGCAAACACGCGAATGCGCGTGAAACTCACCTCGTGCGCGCACGGTCGCGACTTCTTTCTCGCGAGTTATCCTTAAAGAATTGATCACTGTGGAAAACTAAAGACCCCGTCAGGATCAGGGTTGGGGTCATACTTGAATTGAATTCAAAGTGGATGCCTTAATCTAACCGGCCAAGGTTATAGAGATTAGAAGATTAGGTTTAAGGTAATTATGTCCTTGCTTCTGATTGAGTTTACTTGCAGCTACGTCTGTCACCAGACACAAACCGGACGGTCTGCGCGTTCTTGTCCAGTTATGTTTGTTTGTTTGTTTTTTTTCTTTGCACTGTCTCAAGAGATGTACTTTTTACCAATTACCGGCTTCTTCTATGGCAATTTCCTGTTCGATAATCGTTTAATCGTTACATGAATGAGTGCGAATGATAGTCGGCCTCTTATCTTTCGGGGTGACGGTTTGCCATATCCCCTTGGTTTGAAAAACAGGCTTGACTTGGACAATGTTGGCGCTCAGATATTGCATTTGCCTTTTACAGAGCGGAATCAGAAAAAATGTTAATCTTTAAATGACAGTGAGACCAAAATAATTGAGCTTTCGGCCTTTTCTTGTATGGTGTATCGATTTTGAAAGGCAACAGAAAGAAGAAGTCGCCTAACATGAATGATTAATGCACTGTATAGAAATTAAAATGTAAACGGTGTGACGCAGATTATATCCGTCACACAACACGGTAATTTCACCTCGGGTATAAAAGAAGAAAACTTTCACAGCACTCGGGCAACATCTAGAGCAACACCGACTTCCAAAGTCGGATTTGAAAGACAAACATTTTCTGTGTTGGACAAATGCAGGTCAAAATTGTATTTTTTATGTTTTCATCCCTCAGTCAGAAACCCGCAAAGACTCCATACGTGTTAAACTCCTTCTGTGACTCAGCGGACGTGAATTTTACCGCGGAATAAACATTTTACAAATCCATTATTTTTGTTTTCTCTTTGAAATTGGTTTACATTTATATTCAAACCCAATTTCATTCACTTTTGACTTGGTAAAGCAAACGTCTAAACCGTTTACATTTTTACAACTTCTTAAACTAAGTCGCTCTTCGCTTTTATCGTAATGTTTTACAATCAAGTTGTTAAGCAAATCTATTTTACATATAATTATCACAATTATTATTAATAGTTTCAGTTGTTCTTTAATCGACAGTCAGGGGAGCGCGGCCAAAAATTTCCAAGAGGCATTCTACATTTCGTTTCAAAATGGAAACTCCACAGGGAGAAAAGATCACAGCAGCAGAGTTTCGGATTTATAAAGAACCGATTTCCAATGGACACAGAGTTGTCTCCTGGGAGAATTCGACATACGAAGTGAAAATTTATCAGGTGAGAAACATCACAATTCTTTTCAACCGGGCATATACTCCTAAAATAGATTTCAATTTGTCGAAGAAGACAAAAGTGACACAATCATCTTTAATTGGCTGCCATAACTCCTGATTGCTGCGGAAGGATTCGCGCACATTCACTGAATTTGTGTGAATTTACATGTAGTTGGAGATGAAACGCTGTAGCGTTCTTTTCTTGTTAGCTCCTGTACCTCAGTCACACTTGCCAGATTTTTTCGCAGACTGTACCAGCTGACATACATAACTACAGCAGTAGACACACGTACGCGTTGTTCAGCAGCCTTTTTCAAACGTTACTCACCCTTGAACCTGAGGGGAAAATGCGCTAACAACAATTTTGTCGTTGATTCCCTAGCTTATACTAGTTTGATGTTTCTTTTCTACGTTGTATACGTATTGCTTCGTAAAAAGAGCACAAATGATGCATTATGATAGCCAGTTGTTGCAGCAGAAACAATAGCAGCTACTTACTACATTGCATATGCTGTAGAAGTTGAAGTCGGCTGCATTGGATTTTGACCATCATGCTCGTGGGGCTTAACTATTGCTATTCTCTAAACTTCAGGTTATTGAGCCTGCAAGAATTCTCAAGGAACTGGGCAAGCGGGTTCTTCGAAGCTGGGAATCTGGATGGCAGGCTTTTGACATCACACGAGCAGGACAGGAGTGGGCTCAAGAAATCAACAAGAACTATGGAATTGAACTCTCTGTACACACGTACGCAGGGGTGGAACTAAACGCCTCAAGCGTTGGCTTTGTGGGCTTCCATGGCCCACAGGAGAAGCGTCCGTTTTTGGTATCATTCTACCGTCAAGATGGCGAACAGAAACTGACCTATCATCGTATTTTCAATCCGCATCCACGCCGGCGCCGCTCAGCCCGCTCCCTTGGACCGCAGTTCACAAACGTAGGAGGGAACTTCAAGACCTCGAGTCAAACAAGCTGCAGCCGGAGGATGCTGTACGTCAGTTTCCAGCGGCTTGGTTGGCAAGACTGGATTATTGCGCCTGAGGGTTACTCGGCGTTTTTCTGTTACGGTGAATGCTCGTTTCCTTTAAGCGCTCATATGAACGCCACCAATCATGCCATTGTTCAAACGCTGGTACATCTCATGAATCCTACAGTTGTACCTCAGCCCTGTTGTTCTCCCACCAAACTCTCCGCCATCTCGGTCCTGTACTTTGATGACAGTAATAACGTAGTACTTAAAAAGTACACGAACATGGTCGTGAAAGCTTGCGGTTGCCACTAGCAACGCCAACACGAATTCTTTAATCTCACGTTAGCTTGTGCTCTATGTAACCGTCTCTCAACGTTTTTGCATGTTTTGACACAGGAAGCGGAGAGCGGGCAATTGAAGAAAGCTAAATTTCCAATTGACACGCGTTTGAGCAAACACATTGGGATACCATAGCCCTTTACATAACTCTTCTCGCAAATACATATCACTAATATATTGTGGATGGCCGACGTGTGAGATATGAACCTCGTTGCTTAAACTATAACATAACTGCCATATTAACCCTTTCATTACGCTCGATTTCCGCCGTTATCTTGAGTGCGGACTGCGATCAGGTGTATAAGCGCATTCCTCGGACAAGGGCCGTTTATCGATTCTATCCCTATCACTCTCTGAAGCTGAGCACAAATTTTTTTCCCAGGGTCCTTTCTCTTATTCCCTCGACAGAGAGGACCCTGAGAAAGAGATTAGAGTGAGAATTTGATGATCAAATTATACACTATACTTTTTATCAGTTTACATCACCTATAAACCACGCAGGATATTCATGGAACATGACAAAAGTTTTCACAAGCATTTGAAATGTTCCTCCAACATCCAAGATACTTAATTCTGCCGGCAAGCCGATTGACGGTACAGTCTATTACCTTTGTAAAGTAACTACAAAATATTTCAGTTTTCCATGGGTTCTCCAATAAATGATAGGTTTTTGACCAATCAGGGCCGGCGTTATAACATGGTCATTGGATAAATTCTACTTACTTACGATTTTAAGATTTGGCAAGCAGACAAGTTTTTTAGAATTCAGAAAATTATCAGCCAAGAGATATTACGTAGATGCAACACTAAATTCTCAATCCAATCCAAAAGAGAAATGTTAGTCAATGGTACAGAGAAGTCCCTTTCCGATCATAGAGTAAGACGATTGAGAATAAGTGTGAGATCAGACTTCTTTTGGGGGGGG